GTGGAAAGTGAAACCAGGCTCGTGACGCGCGGATCGAGAGAGCGCTCGCGGCGCGGTGCACAGAGGGCCGAGCTGGAATATTAAGCGGCGGAAACCGGATCCAACATTTTCCGAACGTTCGTTTATTTTGTTAATTGATTATTTGCGGGTTTCCGAGATCGTAACATTCAATGGTAATTAGTTCTGCAAGGGTCGTGCATGTTATATCTCGGGAGGTGACGGTTTTCCCTTCCAGCGAGAACGTTGCCAACCTATCGGTAAGCTTGCGGGCTTTCCACCCTCCATGTATCTCTCTAGCGGGGCATCACCCCAGCCGAAAAAAGTTCCAACTGATCTCCCGATGTGTGGTAGTGTAGTGCACGGGTTTGTGTGAGTAATGGGAGAGGAGGAAACAAGGACGAGGAAGGCCGCCAGTTTCTTAAGGTCATGTTCCGGCATTCGCTTGGTAATGATGGAAGAAACCATAGAAAAAATCGATGAGATCTGCTGACCGCTAGAATTGTTCTTCGGGCAGTAGCTGAATTCGATCTATGTAGCTGTATCGAAAATCCGTGTCCATTGGGATTCGAACCCAGCCTCAGTTCGCCCGATCAGCGACAACTCACAAGGAGCGGCAATGCTGCCACTATTTTGTTTATCTTTTACTTATATGCCGCCCTAGGCTAATGCGCTGCTCAAGCGCTGATGGCTACAATGGCAACGGCGCGTAACGGAAAATTGCATGTTTGATTAAAATATTTACTAAAAAAATCTGCAATCCATACTTTTTTAATAAAACAATATTTTAAATAAATTGTTTCCTGTTAAGAGGAGGGAAAAACAACTAAAAGTGTGCAATCGATCCAAATTGGGATACCTGTTGCCTAGTTAGGACACAGTCTCCGAAGTTGGACCGGAAACAATGCACGGGTAGTAATAAACAAATTGAAAAAACGAATCGGTTTATTAAAAATAAAATTAATTTTTATCGAGACTATGAAAATATCGTACTACTGATTTTGCGGAAAGAAATTTTGTGTCTTCTTAGAAACATATTATCGACAGTCCTCTTTTTGGTTAATGATTTTCCCATCCCATTTTAATGATCAAGACTATATCTATAGACAACCATTTTAATCTTCTAAACTGACAGGTTTAAAATATTTCAAAGTAATGAAACGTATTAAAAAATATTTTTCCGCTACATTTCATTTTACAAAGTTTGTATCTAAGAACTTGGTAATTTTACATACACTATTTCATTTCGTTGCCATCTAATGCTGTAAGGGTTTATATTTAGTTTATATTGCTTATAATTTGTCTTTACTGCTTATTGCGGCGTTCAAATGAACTGTATACACAACCATGATCAAATTGCATTACATTAACTATGTGATTGGGACCGAATTAATTATTTCTCTCTCTCTGCAAAAAATCTTCCTCGGAATGTTTACAGATCTGCAAAGTGAATGTGTAGTTGTTTTTTGTAATTTTTTAACGTCTTTCAATTTTGGATCATTTTCTGGGCATTTGCATCATTTTTGTCGTTTTTGCGTATTTTATTTTAATTTCATGTTTTTGTTAGTAAATGTTTTACAAATTTACAATGACACCCTAAAATGAAGGTTTTATTGTTTTCTGAGCAAAGAATTCAAATAAAAAAGGAACATTCGATGATCCCCCTGAGTAATAATTTCGGCTGTCATCACGGATTTGAAGTTACGGCGGAATAAAGATTCACTTGTTCGGAACGCCTGTTTCATAATTCCTAATTCAAAATGATTCTTTTTTAGAAATTCGAATATTACCATCACAGCCCCGTCTTGTAAAATGGGAAAGTAATTTATGAGCTAAAATATTAGTTACATTTCTCTAAAAGTAATTTGTGGTTATTTATGTTTGGGATATCTTGTATATTTAATGTAATTTTTTAATGTTATTGCCATAGGGTTTGTTTTATTTTATGTATAAATAAATATTTCTCAGAGACCGGATGTGTATCACAAAGAATAACAAGAACTGGAAACAATAAGTATCTCCCGAAGATAATGTTACATCTGTTGAGATATTATACGAGTATGTGTAAAGGCTGGCATTATAATATTGTAAAGCAATGGCTTATCGGGAGAACACATTTTCAAACTACTCGTCTTAAGATTGATCGGCGTTTCGGTATATTCATTGTCTGTAAGAGACTTTTCGGAAGTAGACTAAGAATGTTGTTTTTGTCTTGACCGAGTACAGTCTTTACCAAGACCGTTCACAGTGATTGTGAGACTCTTTTTTGAGAATATATATTCTGAAACACAAGTATCTCGTGAAGATTCTACAAATTTCGAAATATTGGGTTTTGGAGTTGCTGTTCGAAGTATTCAAAACGGTAGGAGGGTTTTATCTCTTGCTATTGTTGTACTTCAAAAATACTGATTTCATTATTTCTTATATTTCATATAAAAAGTTTATTGCACTTTAAAAATCGAATGATTTGACATTAAGATGTCTTGAAAGTGTGAGAAGACATTGATATCTGGTTAAAAATTTTGAAAATACATATTTCATTTACAATAACATTTGACACAGATTATAAAATTACGTATTTTCTTGTTCTGACAAACAGTGCCCAGATTTTTAAAGAGACGATCATTGAGAAACAACCTGTCAAAAAGACATTTTTTATCATGAGCAAGAATCAGTTGGAAACAAATCCTTAGTGACAAGACAACTGTAAGCTTCGTGATTTTGCTTCTTATGTGCTTAGAGTGACGCTATTCAATTGTTGCTTGTAAATAAGTGAAAGTTGCAGCATATAATTATCTTTTTGTATGTAATCGGATGTATCTTTTTGTATGTAAATCCTTCAAGAGTTTTACGACTTCGTCATTTCATTACCTTGCCACGCCCTGAGCACCCGACAATACCTCTTCCTGGTATCTGTAACCAAAATTCCTAACATGACACATAAAACAGATGTTCGCGAGCATGCTATTATGCATACAATTTTAAGCTGATAAGCAGATTTGCACATTGATTTTATTAGCAACGATTACGATAACTTATTTCTGGAAACTTCTTCTCAGAAAATCAGTTAAGTTGCGTGATGTCCGGCCTGGCTAAAGGCTCGAAAACAGCAGCAATTAAAGTGTAATTCATACAAAGTATTTAAATAGGTTCCCGGCAAATGAAACTATTATATTCCACGAGGGAAACGATTTCCGCAGTATACTGTATGGAATCATGGAAATTCTGTTTTTTTGGTCTTATATCCAGCCGGTAGCCGGTTATCCTTTACGTCCCGATGGGACGCATATTAGACCATACACTATACACCAACCCACTTGCAGGCTCTTCTTTTCTGCGATCAACAGAACGCGAGACTCGCCGCGACAACACATACATGAGAGACGAGGGACAATCAACCATCCGCAAGGCGAGACTCGAACCCGCGACCATTCCGACCGAAGCGCTGAGTCGGTATTCGCTCTTAGGCACCTCGGCAATCCAGGTCGGCGTAACTTTGTTTACTCGAGTGAATTAATTGCTGCAGGGAAAGATAATTGACAAAATATCCCTTCTCAATGTCAACATTCGTTAGGAAGGAAGATTCAAGATATATTCTAATATTTCTTGACATGATCTGGTGATCTCTTATCCTATATGAGAACTCGATAAAATGTTAACTAACCAGAATTTATCTATCAATTTTTCAAATTATTCAACTACTACATCGTTTCGTTCAAATGAATGGCTTAAAACTGTTGAATACCGCACTTTGATGTCTTTTGCGGTAAAGTAACTAAATTATATCACTCTTTTCGTCAAGTTTTACTTTGTAAAATTTTTCCAAAGAAAGTAAAAGTGGAAATCGAATTACTCAGGTCTCTTTTTACAATAGAATAGAAATGAATAGAGAAAAATAATAATATTTGTTGCAATGTCTATAAATAAACCACAATAACGTCAATCAATTTAGCAAGAACAAAACATTTGCGTTGAATAAGTTCTCATTTAAAACCTCAAAATATTGCACATTAGTATTTTCTACAAAGAAGAAACAGAGCATATAGTAGGTTGAACCAATAAAGAAAGTATCTGCTTAATGCTGTATCTTTCCTCTAGGAGTTTAAAACACCAAAAAATGTCGATGATACAAAAAAAATTACCACCAACACCAAAACATTCTACAATATAATTTTGAGTTCCAATTCGATCTCACAATGCCTCGTCATGTCCTAAAACTTTCCTATGACGAAAAAAAGAATTCGCATCCTCGCTTCACATGAATTTTGTCAGCTGTGTTCTCCGTCTTTTCAGGCGCATGCATAGAATCCCTGTGAAAGTGCGGGTGAGATGGCGAATCTACACGCACCAATGGCCCACCCCCTTCGACGGTGCGCCCTGTTGCTCGCTGTAGTTCACCTGCACTGCTGCTCAGGTAAGAAAATGAATAGGATACAACTGTAACGTACTATTGTTGAAGTTTCGATTATGTGTTTTTATTGATAGATAGGCTGGGAATTATCGAACGTGACTCACGTTTTTTGTACTGACCAACACATGTATTGATATCTCATTCTCATTGTGATTGTTGACAATTGTCTCGCTTTCCTTTCGAAAAAAATGATGTAAACATATTTTCTTTCAATTGCGTATTTGGGTGGAGAAACCAAGAAATCTAATTCTTTTCAAAAATGTATTTGGAACGGCAAGAACGAAAATATTGTTATGGAAACATATTACAGAATACTGTTGCCTACGTTATCAAGTGACATGCCATGCTCTCTCCCTATTTTGCCACGTGTAGATACTTTATTAGTGTTTGCACAAGTAGTCATGGTGTTTGAATTAGATCGCCATAAATTTACGATATAAATTAATGACTGAATTTCGTTAGTGGGTTTCTTTCGTATTATTTTCCTTGGTGTAATTTCATTCACATTTCGAAGATTTTTACTCAGATTTACCTCCTAGGAAGCGAATTCAATAAGCATAATTCTCAAACGAAATTTCACAAATTCATGATGTACTTAGTACTACTATAAATAAAATTATTGTAATAACCCGCATGATGAATCGTTCGTCATTTAAGGTGGCAAAAAACACCAACAAACCATACACCAAATGGCCGAAGCCAATTAAAGATACATTTTCCGGGCTGGTAGGTCGTTGTCCGATTCAGTTGGCATTAAAGGGCCAAACGTTTCGTCCACATCTGCGGTGGACATCCTCAGTGGCGGCAGGGTTGCGGGCGTAGTTATCGAGGCGGTGGCTGGCTGGCGACTGGCCAGTTCGGAGGGTTCGAGTAATTCAGCTAAAATGTATGACAATCTTTAAAATTAAAACAGAGAGTTCCTCATAATATTAGCTATAAATAATTCCTTTACCGCTTTCCCCGCAGAACCATGAACCATGATTTGGAAAGTGTTCTATATCATTTTTCGATTTTGTTGAGGACTGTTTATTACCACAACTTGCGCGCATTTCAAGACTCGAAGCGCTGTTATAGACTCAAGTCTTTTACACTATTTGTGAGCAACGAGTGCATTGAAATTCTGAGGGCCTAAGTTTTTGACAATCTAAAATTGGGTGCGATCGCAAAGTCGTGCGCAATACAAGACTGCCGTAATTTGAAACTCAATTCCATTTCTCAAATTGGCGATTTGTTCGTTTGCATTAGAAAAAAAATTATCCTATGAACTCCGACTCACAATATACACAACCTTCTAGACGTAACAGAAGAGAAATCCACAAGAAACAGCTGTACAGGAACGAAGAAATTCTCTGCAAAATGCCATAGGAATCATTTTTCCATATAACTGAGGAGAATACGGTGATATATTTTATAACCTTAAATGACTCATCCTGAATTTATTTATTTAGAAATCATACTAAATTGCCGCCGCAATTATTGATTCAATCACTAACCATTACCTGGTGTAATCACTTAGTGTGCGTATTTGTAAGTATGCCATCACAAATTCATTTCGTGTGAATAGAACCATAATTGAATCAGCAAAAATAATATTTAGATAAAAGAAAATTAAAACAGCCTATGATAGGAAAATTGTGAAAAATCCTCCTGGTTGAAAGGTATTGGCATTAATCATTACCTCTTCAAATATTTACTGACTGAAGTTATACCTACCTGACGTATTGCCCTCGCCAAAATAATGGAAATTATTCACTTAAATGTTTTTGCTACGGCACTTCCTATTTCTTTTGATCGAAAAAATGTCAACACAGTAGTCAAATAACATAAGACGTACTTCCATGTTACGTATAATTCTGAACTCTGAAGCAGATGGGTGATGAAGTCGTCCATTTCTGCCATCTAAGGACCTAACACACATTTTCTCGAATAAAATTTAACAGTAATTTACAGCGTACGTAGTGTCAACTCTTTACAATCTCTTGGTTCTCATATCCTCAAATGTCTCTTTAAACTAAAGCAATGAAAGTTCGAAAGGTCTTCTCACTTTGTTCTTTGTTGCGCTATAACACACAGAGCATAACGATAGATTCAAGAGTTGATTTTCGGTGGCACGTTTCCTTGAAGAGTAAACTAGGTGTCTATTAGGTAACTTGATCCAAGTAATTTTCTAAGACTAAAAAATGTACGGTGAGAAGGCGTTGGCAGCCTTACTTCCTTCCCAGAGGGATATTACGTATATTTTGTGCAGAAACAGCCATATCAAATAATCGCTTCGCTGGTCAATGTTCGTGTGAGTTAATTTTACACACAATGTAAATTATTGATAAATCACACATTTTATGATTTTAGGTATTAATGATATGACTTCTACAATTGTTGAATCATGTTATTTATATTTATTTGTAAAACTAATGCCGCCTAATTTCTTCGTATTTACTAACAAGCATTGAAATTAATTACTCGCAGTAGGAATACTCGTCCTAGAAATGGTAGGGATGTACAACGTTCCATTGAAAGATGCTGCGAAATTGCAGTAGGATAAGGCTTTGAAGCGACATTTATTTAATAGAACATAAACAATGGCTTGAGAAATTCAGACTGTCAATTTCATTTTTAATGAAAATGATTTCCTTTGTTCAGGAGCAATTACAAGAGAGAATCCTAATCAAAATATAATCAAAATTCATAATGCAAAATTCGTTCATTTGCCACGAAGAAAACCCTTCTTATTGTGCTCTAAAGCCTCTCACACAGGAGGAGAAATCGACTTTGGGATACTTTTTTATTAGCCCTGAACATATTCCTATCATATATCAGGGCAGAAAAAAAAAAAGAAAATGACATATCGAAATTGCAAGAGTAGAAAGACTCATTTTGACTCAGAGCCCGTATAAAAAGGAAATTGAGTTTGCACGTTGCGAACAGAGAGACAGTTAACGTATTCATTAAAAATGCATACATAAGGAAGACCTATTGCTAAGGAAAATGGAAATAATATCCCTACAAAAAATTGAGATTTCTTAGAAATAAGACAACTGTGTGTTTATATTGGCTATGAAGTGAATATATTACATAGAATTCCAATATAGAAAAATAGTTTTCATTTCACACGGACTAATGCAATTAATTTATATTACGTGTCGTATTCCTAATACATGGGTCAAGTATAATAGTGAACTATACTGAAATACTTAGCAATATACTTTGAATAAGTAATTATTAAAAGCATTGAATATCATATCCATAACTCATGTACTCGTAATTTGAAAGATATTGTGGTATAAATGATAACACACAAACAAGAGTGCAAATAATACAGAAAAACTACAATAATGAATTTGTGAATACGAAGTCAAATGTCCTTATTTTTCTTTATATTAACTGTTGCTTTTCAATGAACGTAAAGCCAGTTTCTCTTAATATTCAATTCCGTTCATTTTTTCCTTGATACGTATTATACTACTACAAATTGTTAGAAGAAACGGATGTTAAAGCCTTATGGACGAATGAAAAAAGACGGGGTATCTAATAATGTTTTCTAATATTACAGATGTCAGGTAATAAACAAATATTATTAAATAAAATTTAGTGTACGAATTTTTCAGAGGTCACCATGACTTCACGCAATAATTTCGAGTTCAAACTCCCTTGTCATATCCTTCATTTTCGTTTAAAGAAACATGACTTTTCACTGGTTTACAGAACGGGAACTGTAATTCCAATGGTATTTGGAAATTCGTAAATGTACCAATTGTGGTTAGGAGCAATTAGCCATTTACATATTAATTTCACTCACAAACAACATTAATTTTACTAATTTTTCAAAACTGCAATTTGCGGTAGTCCATTTATAATCACAAACCCATGTATGTAATCAATGTATAATTCAGAGAAATTTATTAGAAGAAAATATTTTTATACAAATGTTTTTGGTATAACAATAATATTGTAAAATGTAATGAATTAGTTTAATACAAAAAAGGCACAGGATCGATGTTTCCTTGTGTTCCTTAAAAAAAAAGCACTGAAAACGAAGTCAGAAAGTCTCTATCAATGATAGTTTAGGGCGTCAAACGCATGGTGGCAGACGAACTTGAGCAAATGAAAAGAGTAAATGTTAGTGCTGTCTACTCCCCTACGCTTTCACTCTCAACGGAGCACTGGCCCGCGGACATGTGCTGTACTATTTTGCCTGGGCACCATGTGTGTTATCGGTGTGCTGTTGTTCCAGAGTTAATTGTTTGTGCTGCTTTGTGTGTCCACCTGTTGGTCATTCGCCTCGGGGACCGGGCGTGTAAAGCGAACAGGAGGCTGAACGTAATTTTGAGATGAGCTTTTGCTGTATTGGGATCGACCAAGGTTTGATGAAACCGTGGCAAAACTGGGAAACATTTTCCGCCTGTTGCAAATAATGTTATGTGCATATAGTTCAAGGTTATACAATACTTTTTTAAGGAATTGTGGAAAATATAGCATATTGCATTCATGAGTCCCTCTGTCTGTCGGTTGAACATATGCATCGGATGCAAGAAACATTGTAGGTGTGTAGTAGTTACGTAGGCTGTATACCTTTTTTGCTCTCGGGTCATTGCAAGACCAAGAGGTGAATTTAATTGGGGCACATTGTACCGCAAAATTACTTTGTTTCATGGTTTTGCTTTCACTAGATTCAAATAAATTATTATTATTATTATTATTACTATTACTATTACTATTACTATTACTATTACTATTACTATTACTATTACTATTATTATTATTATTACTATTTGGACGTTCTCTTTTGCAACAGCTTTCTTTTTACTTACGACACTAGTCCATTCATTGAGAGGGATATAATTTCATACAATGCATTGCACATTATAATTCATGAACACACAACTAAAACACTTGTAACTTATCACGGGCTCAAGCCTCCGCAGTGATGTTGAGCTTGCTTTCCTTGACAAAGGCTACAGCATGACAACGGAAACTTGAAACTGTATTATGATACGTGTTGGCCC